TGATAATAAGCATAGAGCATTTTGGGGCCAGTGATATAATAGTACAAAGGATAATACCATACACACAGATAATCCAAGGTTTAATCACCAGCACCCTATTTGGTCTCTAGGGCACCAGAAGGAGAGATCCCTGAAGGCAAAGCCAGGAGTGAGCACTTAGCACTGCTGGATGTGACCTAAAAATGAAAAGGTAAAGGTAAAAGCCCTCCCGTTGATCGTCGATTTGCTCGAGCGGGCCCAGTAACGTCTCCATTGGAGACTTTGTTGTTACTGTGTCTGGCATATCGAATACGTCACGGGGAGCTTGCCAGGCTCTGTCGTGCGGGCGAGATACTCTCGGTAGCTTGCCGGGCTCTCCGAGAGGGGCGGAGGAATCGAACTCGGGTCGGCCATGTTGGCCGCTTGTAAGGTGAACACCCTACCCGCTGTGCTATCGCTCCAGCCCAACAATAAAGGAAATTAGCGCATTTTGAAAAACTATTTACTATAAAAGTAATATTTTGATATTTTATCATTTTTCTTTCATAATAAATGTGATACAATCTTTACCTGGTACCCTGCTGCTAAAATATAATTTAGACCCTACAACGTAAGATATAAACATATAGGGGATTTATAATTATTATTGACATAAGTCCTATCTCTTAATCTCATTATATGAGTGCCAATTCCAAGAACCTTATCTTGTAGAACACATAAAAGGATAATAGTATTTAAAACTAAGAGTTGTTTAAACTCTGAGTAATTTCTAGTCTACCATTTATGCTTGACTTTTAGTCCTACTGCATATGCAAATCTGGTAAAAATATTCTAACTCAGAAAGTGAAACATCTAAAGGATAAGAGCTATTGAATCTTTTTTCACAATTGTTTTTAACAAATTTGGATTCCAGAAAAAAAAACTTTAAGGGACAAAAATATTCACAAACCCCAATGACATAATTTGCTAGTAATGAAAACAATCTCCAGAGAGCTCAACATATTAAAGATCTTTGGTTAAATACGACAAATAGGTGTACTTGCTTAAGTGTGAGCATAAAGTTCAGCAAGTGAGGTTAGAGCTATTTACTTTCATCAAAGTCAGCTGGGAGCTGGAGAGGTAGTACAGCAGATAGGATCCTGCCTTGCACTGGGTTAACCAGCGTTCAATCCCTGCTACTCCATTTGGTCCCCATAGCTTGCTTTCCCTTAGCATAGAGTAAGATGTAAACCCTGAGCACAACCAGGTTTGGCCCCAAAACAAACAAACAAATAAACAAGACATATTATTTAATTTGTTAAATCTATAAATTATCCAATATTTCACAGATATAATTTCCATGTCTATAAAACAGGGAAATAACACATAATTCACTAGACACTAATATGTTTTCAAAGGAGTTCTCTTGAATAAAAAGTAGCATAAAGAATATTTCTTATTTATTATAAAAGTAAATTAAACCACACTAAATACCTTTTGGTATTTTGGTGTGGAGGATTATATGAATTAAAATATAAAAGTACATTGAATTAATCTTTCTATAAATCAACCTTTTCTTATTAATATGTTGTGTTTATACAGATAGGAACATCTGATTATTTGATGACATTTGTTGGAAAGTGAAAATTAATAACTCTTTTCTTATCTGAATGATTTTTGTGATGCATTTATTTAACTTTTGTCAAGAGATGAACCTGATTGAATAAGAATTATAAAACATAGTTAAATCATGTAATAGAAATTATTCTGGCTATCACTCAGAAATGAACCTACAGTTCTGAGCAAATATTATCAATTCTCATCATCAACTAGAGTGTCCTTTATATCTGGCTCCTGAGATCATCTGTTAAGAGAGGCAAAGCAATTGAAGGAGTTCACTTGAGCTCAAATAGATATAGTAGAATATTTTATAAAAAGTTCATGCCTAAGAAATAAATGTTTCCCTGAGGCACCAAAAATGTTTGCTTCACATTTAAAATTCATAGTTTTTTCTACCAAAACTCTATCATTATTATTTTACATTTAGCTTTTGGAATAGATGGTCATACTTCTTTAGACTATTAATGATTATTTATTATGAAGATGATTATTTTAAGTAGAATTTTGTTAATTCAATAATGAGGTCATATTTTCAATAGTCTGTTCATTATTTGCAATTTAATAGTGGATATTTTTGGATGTTTGATATAACTTTCATAATTCCTCCTGAACTTTGATTGCTCCTTTTAACATTACCCTGATTTCTTTTCCTAGAGCACTGTCTATTTGAAGCTAGAATTATTGGGGTAATGATAGCATGAGTAGGAAAATGTTGACTGTAAGTTTTCAGTGGTTAATATTTTGAAAAAAAAATCCTGAGAGAGAGATAAGTAGAATAAGGAGAGGGAGAAAATCAATTACTAATTACCCCAATTCTGCTTATTCAAAATCATTTTAAATATGTATTTTGGGTCTCTTCACATAAAGTATTTATAAGCATTTAACCAATTATGTTTCAAAGTGTGATTTTAAGATTTCTCCCATCAATATGTTTCCTTCTCAACTGGAAGCATTTTTTTTTCTCTCCTTCAGAGTCTTGCCTATCTCAATTATTCATAGTCACAACAGGAGACTGCCCTCCTTGCTGAGGTTGGTTTCTGGGGCCAGTAAGCTTCAAACCTCAGTCCATTACAAAGAAATAGAAATACATCCTTCCCTTCTACTCAGTCCTAGTCTACACCTGCAGTTATGTACTCATAATACCTTTTTTAAAAGTTTTTTAGTAAAACGGTATCAAACTGATTATGTTATTCTTTTTTCTCTCGACATCTCAATATGTTTAAGTTAAATTGAATAAGAACAATTGTTTTGTAAGTGTAATAGGTGGTCAAAAAATGTCTCTCTCTTTCTCAGCACACATACTTTACTGAATCAAATCTTTATCTACACACAGTTTCATCAGAAAACATTTGACTAAAAAAATTATATATATCTGAAAACTTCTCCCCCAACAACAAACTTTTGGACCCACACCAAAATATTGACATGTCTTTGAATCTCAGCCAAACCCAGTTCTTTCCTTCAGTTTATATCTCTCTGGTCTTCTCAAAATGCACATAACCCCACTATGTCATCCTTTGCATAAATTATTAGGATGATTATGTCAGCTACCCAACTTGTTTAACACCTTATTAAAATGGAAACGGATGAAAACATATAAAAGACTATAAAACCCAGCTCCCAGAAGCCCACGGCCACATTCGTGGCCATGCGACATCTTATTATCTCATTCCTACTTTGGACAAACTGGCAGCCTACCGAATGTAACCTGCCCACAGGGCGGAGTCTGGCAAACTCCCCATGGTGTACCCAATATGCCAAATACCAGTAACAATGATGGGTCTCATTCTCCTAACCCTGAAAGAGCCTTGAATATGGCACCTTTTAAAAAAAATCTCAGGGCTAGGACGAAGGAGATGTTACTGGGGCCTGCTAGAGGCAGTTGACGAATAACAGGATGGTCGTGATAGTGATGAAAACATATTCCACTTCTACTGACGAAAGGAACAATAATAGTAGTCATAGTAATAATAATAATGATGATGATGATAATAATAACAATGCATAGTCCAAACACTGAATTGATACACGTATCTTTAAGATCATATTGATGGAAACAGTGTGAACTCTCATGAGCAAAATCTTAAAACTTCCTTCCTAGAAGCAGTATTTTCATGCTCTTTCCACTTCCAGATGTTTGTAATAATTTGTTTTTAATAATCTCCATCCAGTCTGAAGAAGTCAGGCTCCTTATTTACAGCCTCCTGATTGTTCTCTCTCAAAGAGTGACCCAGTCAACAGAAGGGAGACAGAAACTGCTATAGCTACCTGCAAATAACATGTGCACTAGCCTTCCAGACCACAGATTTTCATCTTTCCCTTTCAAGATGCAACTGGTTATTTACTTGTGTGCATTTTAAATCCATTCCAACAGCTGTGGAAACTTTGCGTGTGTGTGAGAGAGCGAGAGCGAGCGAGCGAGCGAGCGAGAGAGAGAGAGAGAGAGAGAGAGAGAGAGGTTGTGGTGTGAATGTAGTGTGCACGGGTCTTTTCTGCCAGTGTGTTTTTAACCGCATTCACGAATCAAATTGGGATTTCCCCCAACCCCCCAAGCCCCCCTTTTCCGGTTCTCAGTGAAAGCTTTCAGGTCTGGAATCAAAGACGTGAGCGGGTATTGTGTTTTCACCCTGCAGACTTAAATAACATTCAAGAAATATCACCAGAGAAACCTAACTCTCAATGACCAAATTGACTAAAATCCTTTGCCGTTATAAAAAGAAAAGTATGTGCTTAAATTACATATCTTGGAACCACAAAAAAATCACCCTGCGCAATTATATAAAAAATACATGACATGAATATGGGTTCCAAATAGCCACTTTCAACATGACCATTTCCCCCCCAAAAAACATCAAATAGCATAAAACCACTATACTGCAGAGATGGAAGAAATGCATTTAAAGCACCGATGAAAATGGCGTGTGCGGTATAATTACCTCAAATTGCTGTTCGCTTGACACCCTGACACTAATTTTATTCAAGCCATTGGGAAATAAATGTTTTAAAAGCACTCCTCTCCAAACGCTGGAGCGAGTGAGGGCTGAGGTCGTTAAGGAAAGGAAAGGGTAAAGTTTCCATCACGCTAAAAGAATTAAATAATCCATTTAAAATAAGTGTCTGTGTGGATCGACAGCCTTTAATACCCACATTTTTAACGCTTGCCCTGTATGTGGATTGATTTCGCCCCCCCACCCCCCCCTTCAGCATTCCCTCACCAGATGGATTTTTGCTACTGCAGATCAGCAGAGGGTGTCAGATCTTTCAGAGTGCACCAGGCTGGAATGAGCAGAGCTTCTTAGCAACTCTCTTCTCCCCCCCCCCAACCCCCTTCTCGCGCTCCCTCCCTCCCTTAGACGACTCCCCCCTTCACCCCCGCCCCCCCACCCTCCTCCCCCTCCACGTAATTCCGAAAGAGCAGAAGAAAGCGAAGGAGAGCAAGAAAAGAGGAGCTGAGTGACCGAGAGCCCGAGCCCCCCGAAGGGCTGAAGAGTGCTGGAGGGGAGGAGAGGGAAAGGATGGACAGCCACAAAACACAGCGATTGCGGAAATTTTCCAGCGCCATTGGCACGGCAGCGTGAGTCTTTGGGTCCGGCGTGATTTCAGCACCGGGGGGACTGGACAGCACCCCGGGGGGACTTCAGGGCAACCCGCAGCCACTGCGAGAACTCCGCCAAACGCCTCCTGCCCAGAAGCCGCCGAAGCCCTGCTTTGTATCAGAGAGGCAAGGTCAGTCCGACGCACAGCCATGCACAGGCAGTGCGCCTGTACTACGCTGCAAACCCTCTGCTTGTTTCTCTAACATGCACTTGCTTCTAATTACTAGCTTTGTTCCCTTCCTCATTAGCGACGACCGCTAGCCGAGCGTCTTAAGGGTGTATTTTTAATTTAGACCTGTACGTTTAACTTCTTTTTGGTTATTTTTTTTTAAGGGCTAACAGGGAGTGGGGCTTATTTTTCCTACTTTTTTTTTTTTTGCTTGCCTTGCACTACGTGCCTGGATAGTTTGTGGATATAATTATTGACTGGCGTCTGGGTTGTTGCAGTGCGGGGGGGTTAGGGAGGAAGGAATCCACCCCCACCCCCCCAAACCCTTTTCTTCTCCTTTCCTGGGTTCGGACATTGGAGCACTAAATGAACTTGAATTGTGTCTGTGGCGAGCAGGATGGTCGCTGTTACTTTGTGATGAGATCGGGGATGAATTGCTCGCTTTAAAAATGCTGCTTTGGATTCTGTTGCTGGAGACGTCTCTTTGTTTTGCCGCTGGAAACGTTACAGGGGACGTTTGCAAAGAGAAGATCTGTTCCTGCAATGAGATAGAAGGGGACCTCCACGTAGACTGTGAAAAAAAGGGCTTTACAAGTCTGCAGCGTTTCACTGCCCCAACTTCTCAGTTTTACCATCTATTTCTGCATGGCAATTCCCTCACTCGACTTTTCCCTAATGAGTTCGCTAACTTTTATAATGCAGTTAGTTTGCACATGGAAAACAATGGCTTGCATGAAATCGTCCCTGGGGCTTTTCTGGGGCTGCAGCTGGTGAAAAGACTGCACATCAACAACAATAAGATCAAGTCTTTTCGAAAGCAGACTTTTCTGGGGCTGGACGATCTGGAATACCTCCAGGCTGATTTTAATTTATTACGGGATATAGATCCGGGGGCCTTCCAAGACTTGAACAAGTTGGAGGTACTCATTTTAAATGACAATCTCATCAGCACCCTACCTGCCAACGTGTTCCAGTATGTGCCCATCACCCACCTCGACCTCCGGGGAAACCGGCTGAAAACGCTGCCCTATGAGGAGGTTTTGGAACAAATCCCCGGCATTGCTGAGATCCTGCTGGAGGATAACCCATGGGACTGCACCTGTGATCTGCTCTCCCTGAAAGAATGGCTCGAGAACATTCCCAAAAATGCCCTGATCGGACGGGTGGTGTGCGAAGCCCCCACCAGACTGCAGGGAAAAGACCTCAATGAAACCACAGAGCAGGACTTGTGTCCTTTGAAAAACAGAGTGGATTCTAGTCTCCCAGCGCCCCCTGCCCAAGAAGAGACCTTCGCTCCTGGGCCCCTGCCAACTCCTTTCAAGATAAATGGGCAAGAGGAGCATGCTACCCCAGGGGCTGCTCCGAATGGAGGTACAAAGATCCCGGGCAACTGGCAGATCAAAATCAGACCCACGGCGGCTATAGCCACCGGTAGCGCCCGCAACAAGCCCCCAGCCCACGGCTTGCCCTGCCCGGGGGGCTGCAGCTGCGACCACATCCCAGGGTCGGGGTTAAAGATGAACTGTAATAACCGGAACGTGAGCAGCTTGGCTGATTTGAAGCCCAAGCTCCCCAACGTGCAAGAGCTTTTCCTGCGAGACAACAAGATCCACAGCATCCGCAAGTCGCACTTTGTGGATTACAAGAACCTCATTCTTTTGGATCTGGGCAACAATAACATCGCCAGTGTAGAAAACAACACTTTCAAGAACCTTTTGGACCTCAGGTGGCTCTACATGGATAGCAACTACCTGGACACACTGTCCCGGGAGAAATTCACAGGGCTGCAAAACCTCGAGTACTTAAACGTGGAGTACAACGCGATCCAGCTCATCCTCCCGGGCACCTTCCACGCTATGCCCAAACTGAGGATCCTCATTCTCAACAACAACTTGCTGAGGTCCCTGCCCGTGGACGTGTTCGCGGGGGTGTCGCTCTCGAAGCTCAGCCTGCACAACAATTACTTCATGTACCTGCCGGTGGCAGGGGTACTGGACCAGCTCACATCCATCATCCAGATCGACCTGCACGGCAACCCCTGGGAGTGCTCCTGCACCATTGTGCCTTTTAAGCAATGGGCAGAACGCCTGGGCTCCGAAGTGCTGATGAGCGACCTCAAGTGCGAGACGCCAGTGAACTTCTTCCGCAAGGATTTCATGCTCCTGGCCAATGACGAGATCTGCCCCCAGCTGTACGCCAGGATCTCGCCCACGTTAACTCCGCACAGTAAAAACAGCACCGGGTTGGCGGAGACCGGGACGCACTCCAACTCGTACCTCGACACCAGCAGGGTGTCCATCTCCGTGTTGGTCCCGGGACTGCTGCTGGTGTTCGTCACCTCCGCCTTCACGGTCGTGGGCATGCTGGTGTTTATCCTGAGGAACCGCAAGCGGTCGAAGAGGAGGGACGCCAACTCCTCGGCGTCCGAGATCAATTCCCTGCAGACCGTCTGTGACTCTTCCTACTGGCACAACGGGCCTTACAACGCCGATGGGGCTCACAGAGTTTACGACTGTGGCTCTCACTCGCTCTCAGACTAAGCGAGCAAGCAAACAAACAGACAAACAAAACAAAAGACCCGAATCATCCGGGAGGGAGCGGGGCAATCGCCAGGCGAGGCTCCCTCCCAGCCCCCTCCCGACCCCAAGCAGATGGGGTAAGAGGAGCCTCCCCGCCCCCGCCCCACACCCTCACCCCGAGATCTAAGTGCAGCGGCCGAGGGTGGATGGACAGGAGTCAGTGACTAGTCCGCCCAGAGGCTCGGACCACGTTAGCTGCTTTGTGCAAACCTAGAGCATACTGTGGCGAGTGGGGAGAGCTCGGCCAGCTTGGCTCCGGCTGCGGGCGGCGCTTTGGACCAAGCCCAGCAGGGGACCAGCTCTGAGAACTCGCAGCGCCCCTGCTCTCAGCCCTGGGGCCAGTGGGATGAAGGCTGCCGCAGTCCTAGACTTATCCACATATACCCACGTCTATAGAGAGAGCTAGATCATCTATTTTTTTTTTTCCCCTGTGGATTAGCCCCGGGAGCACGGGGGCGTGATGATGACTCCCTGCGGGCGACGCAGGGATGGGCAGTTGCACGAAGGCATGAATGTATTGTACATAAAGAACTTGGACTTCAGACAAAAACACACAAAAAAACAAAAATAATAATAATAATAATAATAAAGTGCTGCATGGCTCGCATGGAATCCACGCGCTCCAGGGACGCTGCCCTCCCAGCGACTCCAGACGGCGTCCAGTTCACAGCACCTACCCTCTTACCTGATAAGTCTCATCGTATCAAACTTTCTCTAAAAGAAATACAGTATAATCAGAAAGTGCCATTTCGCCATTATTTGTGATCAGTAGGCAGTTCAGAGCGTAAGTTTACTGTGAAAAAAAAATGTAAAGGTTTTATTTAAGACATTTGCATGGCTAGTCATCAGTCCATTTTATGAGTTAAAAATGTATTTTGTTAAGCGAAGTTTTTAATGGGTTGTTTTGGGTTCTTTATTTTATTTTAATGGTGATGTTTTATTTTATTTTTATTTTAAGGGGGAATATTTTTCTATACATATCCAATAATGCCTTCCATCTGAATGTAAAATAAGTACCCATGATTTCTATTATAGTATCAGTGTAATTATTAAAAAAAAAGATTTTGAGGCAGTTAAGCATGACCAATTAATGTCACTCTAGTGCTTAGGCTGCGATTCTATGGTAGCAACTCTGTGCTGGTGTAAATCTTACTTATAAAGTAGGAAAAAAGAACGGAGGAAGCACGTGAAACTTACTAATTCTATTCAAGGATTTTATAATGGCATATTTTTTCAGTATTAAAGTGAAAATGTTTTCAACACTGGGTCCTTACATTTTTCCAGCTTTTTATTTATAATTGCTAAATTGGATCTGGTGTGGAAGGGATGGTGGAGGGGGACGGTGGAGGGTGGATCCCTTCTTGAGCCATATTGAGGCTCAATTCGCCTTACTTAGTTTTACACCTTTTACATAGTTTCCTCCTTCTATGCCTCCCTGCCTCTCCAGTTTTCCCCATAAAGTACTGTCTCCCCACTTAAGTACATGTCCCCATCCCCTACCCCCCCCCCCCCAATGCAGCAGCCAATCCCTTTATTAATATGAGAACCCCCTCCTTGCTGCTTCTGCTGTTCTGCACACTGCAGATACATATTAAGGGTGTTAGTACGGATTTTGATTTAATTGACTCTGCCTGGATCAGTCTCATTAAACAGAGTGGAGATTTCATTGGTCAGCACTCTTCAATGAAAGACAACCCTAATGACTGGCATTTGAGATGCTGCTGGCATTTCGAATTCAACATCTGTTGAAAACGGTAAAACTAATTAGTGCCCACCCACCCTGTCCGCCCCAGCAACTGCATATTGAAAGTTGGTGAAGTACTCATCTTTATGAAATCAATCATTATCCTAAAGAAGTGTTTCTCTCCCATCATTTGGACTTCTGGTTTTGACCCAGTAATTAACAGAAAACGCTTTGAACGATTTGAATTGTATGAGCCACTGTAATCCTGGACTCAAAAAATTAATCCCCTGGGATTTCTAAATCATCTATTTTATCAACAGTTAGGGACCTAGAGAAGAAATAGAACTAGGTATATTGATGGGGTCTGCATTCCACTACATATCCACCTTGGCGAAGTATGTCAAAAGATTGCAGACCACAGAATAAAACCCAAAATTATGGGATTGTGCATCAACTAGAGAGGATCCCCAGAGCAGTTGTAAGGTTTGCCTTCTAGAATTCATATTCTAAAGAAATTCCCCAGAACACTGATGTTCGGGAGTATGTATTATTTATTTTAACGCTTTTTAAATAAAATATTTTAAACCATACTATTCTAAAGGCCATTCATCATTTTCTCTCTTGACTCTCGGTTGTGGATATTTCATAGAGGTACGCTTGCAATCTACAATCCTGACAAATGTTACAGGTAGCTTTTGTTTAATTTTCATATGGAGGCTTTAAGTCTTATTATAAAAAGTACAATGGAGTTCCTGGAAAGGTATCATCAGAGATTTATCTGTGTTGGAAAAGTTGGGGAATTGGAAGAGTCATATCTTCAACATTATTATGAATTTAAGAAGGTAAAGAAAAGATAGATATTTCTTATATATGATAGAGAGTAACTTTTTAAATATAACCAGTGAAGCATGGAGAGATTTTTAAAACTGGTACATGAGTTTCTGTGAGGAAAAATGAAGTTCCAGAAGAAGGTATACAGAAGGCAAGATCTTTTCCTCAGACCAGTTCCAAAGAAATGAAATGCTAGAAGTCAAGGACAAAGAGTAAGGTTTATTTAAAAGTAATTGTTTCGATTGTTTTAGAATAGTCTTTGGGCATCAGAAATATACTAAATGGTTTATATTACTAATTAAATTAATCCTCACAAGAGAATGGTTTAATAAATGTTATTTCCATTTTGCAAATGGAAAATTGATGTTTAATGAGAATAAACAGTAACTCAGATTATAATTGATAATCTGGGGATAGTAGTAGATTATAGAAATAGTAGAAGTAGTAGAATGGGATTATAATCTAGTCTGTCTCATACTATAAATACCATACTTTGAATGGAGTAGATATATATGTATATATATATATATGATAGCTTCTTAAGGAAGGTTAATCTATTGAAAAAGTATGCAGCTATAAAAATAGAGAATACAGAGAACAACCAATAAAGGTTGAGGTTGTATCTAGTTGACTATGTATTTGTAATTTTTCTATTTTGAGTGTGTCTTTCATTTAGAGAAATTGTCCTATAAAGGAGGTGACTTTAGAGTGCGCAAGAAGACTTAGCATGTATGAAAAAAGATGAATGTATCATAAGATTCTATGAATTATGCAAATTCAAATAAATATGAATTGCCTATATACTTATTATAAGTATTGGGATGAAATTTTAGGATCCTTCAATAATTAATAAATAATAATAATAAAATCCATCTAGATACGCATCAAATATTTTCACATAAAAGATTAATTATTGTCAGAAGCTAATGTTTTATTAATTTTGAGAAATATTTCATCTCCGTAATATTTTGATGAATTCATCATATGATTGTTATATATATACACCAGTATACATATATATGGATATTATATATATATATATATTGTTTTGCCTTAAAACATGCATTTGTTAGGGGCTTAAGAGTTAGTTGCATTCTGATCAAATGACTTTAATTTAGAGAAGTTTAGTTTCTTATTTTTACCTACCTAAAAACTTCACATGACTATAGTTGCCCCATGCATACTTGAGATATCTTGTTTCCAGTTAAATCACCCTTTGGTCCAATCAAAGTGAAAGAGAAGCTAGTTGTACCCGAAGGAAAAGGAGGAAACAAGGGGATGTTTTGTTTAGCTTGAATGCTTTTTTAAAAAAATTCTATCACATAGTTGTTGCTTCTGTAACTAATAATATCCTAGAGTAAGTTGTTGCCATAGAAATGTATTGTTTGACCATTTTTAAATGTTTACCCAAGAGGAAGCTGAAATATATTATCTAACATTAACATAATTGAAAGAATATTCTTAAAAATATTTATATTAGGTACAATTAGAATTTACAGGCACTTAATAAGTGCTAAAATTATGTTGATATTTCCATGGACAATTTGTTAATTTAGGATTTTCTAGCTTCTTTATAAATGTTATTTGGTATGTACAGTGAAATGGTGAATTTGCAAGGGTGAAGAGGAGGTATCTGTTCTAATATGTTAGTAGAATATTAAGTAGAGAGGTTTCTAATTTGCCTTTTAGCTAGTTTTATGCAATATTTTGTTTGTATACTTATTGGAAGAAAATGAAAATATAACACATTCTAAATATTTAATTTTGTCATGTATCAACTTTCAATCTTTTTTATGTCAGTTATTTAAAATTCAGCATATAAACAGATGTATATATAGTTAATTTAAAAGATGAGCTCTGGGATACATCAGATATGGAAAATGCATATGCACAATTTTTACCTTCTCTTATTTGCTTTGGTATATTCCATGGCCATAAAGAAATAAGATTAAATTGCTCGAGCGGGCCCAGTAATGTCTCCATTGGAGACTTTGTTGTTACTGTGTTTGGCATATCGAATACTCTCTGTAGCTTGCCGGGCTCTCCGAGAGGGGCGGAGGAATCGAACTCGGGTGGGCCATGTTGGCCGCTTGTAAGGCGAACACCCTACCCGCTGTGCTAAATGTCTCATAAAATTCCATAGATTTACTTTCATCTTGAAAATATATTTTAAAAATGTTATAAGAAGTAACACACAGGGTATGTAATGTTTTACTCTAGGCATTCAGAGGTAAACAACACTAAGTTTTTTCATGAAAGCATATGTTAGAAACAGATCGATTCTGAAACTTGGACCATATTGACTCTACTGTGATTTGTTAAAATTTAATTGATTTTAAAAAGTTGAAAAACTATGATGAAAACACATTTAAAACTATAATTTTATTGTGAGATATACCACTGAAAAAATAACTTAGGTTACCAAAGTCCAGTCTAATTTTTGACCTTAGTTGGTTACCGATTTCATTTTTTCAACTTAGGCCTCAACTACAAATTCCTTAG